ATCTGCAGAAATCATGTAATGAATTAATGTCAACATGGACAAGAATCGAAGTTTCCAACATCTTTCAAACCACAAAAAACTGAGGCTCTTTTAAATGCAAAAGGAGGAAATACCCAGTATTTGTCTGGTGTTTTTTTTTCTAGTTTATGTTCAAAGAAAGGTTTGAAGAAAATGTAATCATCATGTTTATTATCATCATGCACAGAAGAGCAATCAAAACTATATTTGTTTAGAGTGAAGACTCAAAAGGAACCCTTTAATATAATGATGCCCCAAAAACTTCAAACCACTTTCCTTATGCAGAGACTGAGCACAATGATCAAAGTGTCAAATCATTGTGTTTCTCTTTGTTTATGTCAGCATCATGCTCAATTACTGTACTGGATTTACACAATACCGTTTCACAAACTTTCTTCTCTATTCCGTTTGTTTACTCTTAAAAGGCAAATTGCTTTCAGTGCAATTGAACAATATTCGTCAATTTTCCTAATTTTATTTTATGTAAAGAATGATTTGTTAATTCAGCATCAGAGATGAGAACTATGTCTGTATTCAAGGCATATGAAGGAGAAGTGCAAATTGAGACAAATTTAAAGATGACGGCTGAATTGATTTGAATGTGTTTCAGTATTTTTGTGGGAAGTCAAATGGTGGAAAAATGTGGACTTTCGATGACACACTGCGAGCACTTCAAGTCTACACATAAAAAGTAGAAGGACACATGCTTTGAGTTGACATTTGATATCCTCACTGTCATTTTAAGTTTTGTGTATTTACACCAGGGCCGTGGAGCATATGAGTGTCTGAAGGCTGGCAGGTACCCAACAACAAAACTGAAGAGAAGGCTCAAACATCCAGTCATTACCATCATTAATTCCATCACCACTGTAAATGAGATGACAATACATGTTCTTCACAGGGTCAAATCAAACCCTTTGATATAAACACAACCTCCCTGTGTTTTCCATGGCAACACAGAACCATGATATTAGAACAATAACGTAGTCAGTGCAGGAAGTGACCTTGTCCATTTTCTCATTTCAGGATACCTTATCATATACTGTACTATCACCCAAGTGAAAACATCTAAGTCAGTCAATGTTCTTGCAACAATGAATTAACCTTTCGTAAAATTGGCTGATGGAAAAGAGTTTGTTGACCATGCAGGAGATAGTTATCGTGGCTAAACTCTCTTTAAAAATCAGTGTCTGCAGTTCCCATATTAGATCACTCTCCAAACAAATGATTCTCCAAGTTCCGTCGCTGACCTATGATGAAATACTTTCAGAAAAAAATCCTTCATTTTGCCACAGGGCGGCTTGTTTGGGACAGAAAGGGCGAACAAACAGGCCGTTTATTAAGATAAACTACCACAGCAGAGAGAAATCTAGAGGGCAGAGCCGATAGCTAATACAAATGTGTGTGCTCCCCGGCATCTCAGTGTTTGTGTGTTTTCACATACACATACATACATGAACCAACAGAGCATACAACAAGAGAAGGAAATATCAAATATCTCTTCGGATCATACAGAATAGAGCATGAAACAAGAGTCCAGGATCTATCAGTGCTAATGGACCATAATGAATGATGATGAAGTGACAGAGGTAAATATAAAGAACGGTTCACTGTGCTAAACAATACTAATGTCAGTACTCATGCACAAGAATTAACAAAAAAGAGATGTCTGATTGTGAGACTAAATTTCTCTCAGTGTAAGAAATGTTCTGTCTTACATGTAGATATGTGAGGGACAATAAAGCACGATTAACCCGTGTCCTCTTTTAAGTTGTTCAAGATCAGTATTTAACCAGCTCCCTTCATCACTCGGCCAGTGATTATAGGTTATGTCGCTCAATCAGGATGTTTTGCATGTTAGATTATGCAGAAATTAATTTCCATTCAACTTGGTGTAAGGCTTCAGCGTGGGTCAGGAAAGAAGTCATTTCTTTAATATTGCGGAATAGGGTGTTTTTTTAATCGTTGATTTTTCAAAGATTTATTCATGAATCTAGATGACAAAAAAAACACCACATTCAGGGGCTGTTGTCTATGAGTGTGTGAAACTTAGTGCATTTTGACTGAATTTAAGGGAACTGTTGGGCCCTGTCCGGATGTTAGCATGCTTTCACTCAAAACCGGCTGCTTAAAATAAGAAAATGTTTTGTTTGTTTGTTTATAAATAATAAATAAAATCGATACATTGAAGTGTTTGCTTCACTGAAAACAGTAACCTACTTTAAAATGGTCAACCCAAATAATTAGTTTGAAATTATTTTTTAAATCTTTCTTCAAGATTTCATTTGCTGGAATGACATTGCAGCTTGCTGAACTTATTTTAAGACTTTGTATCAAGTGAAATTCACTCAATCCATTGTAATGGAGTAATTCATTATATTTTGAGTGAGAGCATTTTTGCGTGGCCTTGAATTTGAAAGGGGCGTGTTTAGTAAAATCATGACTAAGGTTCTTTTTAATCAATTATAAACAGGTGAATCTGTTTATTACTGATTATAAACAGATTGACCGTATACATCCACTACTGTTAGAATTTTTTTTTAAATGGTGAAGACAGAAAAGCTGATGACTGCAGAGCATTGTTAGGCATTGTCACCTTACAGTTAATTTTCATGTGATGTATCAGCACAGATCTCTTGACTGATCTCTGCCTTTGGTTTGTGTTTTTTGTTGTTGAAATTTTACTATTTTCCCCCTAAAAATGCAACAGGAAGTAGTCTGCCAATTTGATGAAGAGTGTTTTCTCTGCTCCCCTCGCTGGAGGTGAGAGAAACTGTGATGTCAAACAAGAGGTTGTGCAGGTCGGGTTGGGAATGATGACACAACAGATAAGCTTCAGCATCTCTGAGGAGATGACCACTGGATATTCTCAATGAGAAGAGAGGTTGTAGGACCTAATTAATAATGTCAGGAGGGAAGTGAGAGAGACCATTTTAAGGAACTTGTCTGATGTATTCCCTTCAGATTGAAGCCAGTGCTGGAGATAGTCAGGGTCAGAGTTGTCTCTCCTCTTTCCATGAAAGTTTCATAGCTTCTCATTTGGTAATTTGTTGGATGTGAATATGGATGTGTGTAACATTGAGGCTCTGGATATTACTGTCCTACCATTTTTTATCATGTCTCTAAAATAAAATAAAATATGAATGTCACTGCAAAAGAATGCCACTCAGTAGAATGCATATCTGGGCCAAGACTCCACCCAATTTCACATACTACACATACTAGGTGTACTTACAAAAATAGACATACGATAAACTACAGACTACAAGAGATTAGCAAAATAAGCACAACTACTATATGCAAATAGAGTTAAACAATACAGTAGTGCAAAGGAAAACAAGGATGGACAAAAAACATTTCAATTCTATGAGGATAAGGGTGAATTGTGACCAGAGGACAATAGTGCAGTGGTGCAGAGTTCAAATCTTTCAAACACAGTTGCTGATCAAAACAACTCCATGAGTTGTTAGAACCTGTAAGCTCAGGAGGTGTTTGTGTGTTCTCATACACACGAGCTGAGGTTTATTTAAATGGCCTTGATTGTTGTTGTTTATCGGATGAATACAATCCAACAGGCCATTGCACTGAGAGTACTGTTGGCTATAAAGCTGGTAACAACGCCCTGCAGTTACTTCTCTTTTGACATCATCCAAAACTTCCAAAACCTTATCGACTCTTCTGCGAACTCTGTTTCCACTGCAGAAAAAACAAGATGGAGTATTCTGAAAAATTGAGCTCGATTAAATAAAACATCCAAATCCTCACTTTTCAGTAATGAACATATAAAATAGTTGGATCAACCAGTTTGGACATTTGAAAATTTGAAATCTGATCTATTCATGTATTTTCATTAAAAAAAAAAACCTTGCTGTAAAATTGTTGAATTTGCTCCCTGCAAACATAGCAGTGTTTCTCTAAAGCAAAGCTTAAAGGGATAGTTCACTGAAAAATAAAAATTCCCTCATTATCTTATCATCACTATGCTGATGGAGGCATGGGTGAAGTGTTTGAGTCCACAGTTTTTTTAGTAAAGACAGTCTTCTAACAATATTGGAGCTGATTTAACATAACCATTGTTGAGTATTAAATACATTAATACAGGTACAGGAAATCCATACTTCACCCCTCCTCTTATTGTGGGCAAATGGAACAGCCCGCCTGAGACAATACCAAGTCACTCAATGTATAGGGGCTTAAAGTTTGCTGGAATATCAAAGCACACCGCTGTTTGCAGGATGCATAGCGATGAGGTAATGTATCCAATGAGATCTCATTCTGATCTCATCCATCTTGTTTGCAATGGTTGGTGAGGAACAGAATCCGCAGTACTGGTCTGTACAGGTTAGCCTTTAGCCTAGCCTCTGGCCTAGCCTCTGACCTAGTCTCTAGACTAGCCACGGGCTTTCGACTGTCATAAATCGTTGCTCTGACCTCGTGGGTTATCTGTCCTGACCACAGACGTTGACAATAGTTTAAAGAAATTCTCATTTTCTGTTGTAGGTCATGAAGAGGCAGCAATATTTAAATAATACTGTTTCATAATGAGTTAAAAACTCCTAGTCGGGGCTTTAACTAATTCACCGAAACACCTACCTATCCAATCTTATAGTGTTATTGGTTGATTAATTGAACAGCTTCAGAATTCTGACAATAGAGTGATGTTGATGACGATTGCCTTGCCGTGTGGCGTCTGCAATTGAGTCCCCATCCTGCAGTTGGTGTGACAAACAATAACAACAACAATCAAATAAATCTTGATCTCTCATCATCATTTAGATTCACCCAGTTACTCTGAGTAGAGTTTACTGACGGTTGCTCAGAAATTTGAGTTTAGACATTCACAATGTAAAACTACACATTACAACCAAAGGATCAACCTGTGAAGATAAGAACAATGAAGAGAGACAATGCATCGAGATGTTGTTTTGTATTGTCTTTATTGAAGCCTTTTTGTGATTAATAAATAATAGATATGCCACTTGAATTGTATATTCATATAAACCATCACAATTGTTTTCATCCCTAAAACCCATTGACAAAAAGTTTGAAAGAATGTTTTTAGAAAATAAAACAACAGTAGAGCAAATTTAATTATTTCCCATTTCCACTCATAAAAGTGATTTGATTAATCCAGCACTGCAGCTCTTTAGATTACTGGCTAACATGCAAACCACAACACAGATGCTGTAATACATGATCCAGATTATTATCAGATTTACGCATTTTTATGTTCCAATAAACAGCTTCACATCTTGGATTTTACATTTGTAATTTTTTGTTTATTTCTTTGATAAACTGCTGTATAACCCTGTCACTGCTACTTGTGAAGATTTACGATGAGGAAAAAGATTTAAAACATAAATTTTTCACCAGAGTTTGTAGTTTGATTGATGAGTTATATAGAAGTCACAGGACAGCATATAGTCAGAATGAAAAAAAAAATGAAGTGAGAAGTGAAAACACAGAAGTTATTCACCTTTTATTAAAGGGATAGTTTTACTTTTAGGCTTAAAACGCAGTGTAAATGACCTTGGTTCGAAATATGAATGAATGTTGGCTTGTGGACACTTGGATGACACCACACGAGTAGTACGGAGACATGTTATGTGTTTTTTTTTTACGACTGAAGGTAAGTCCCTAATATCTTCAGTTGTATTGGATTCAGCTGCTATACACAAATTTCCCCTGAAACTCCAGCATTGTTTTGTGGACTCAAACAATTCAATTACCCCCCCATTGGCATAGGGGTGAGTAGATAATGAGTGAATTATCATTTTTGGGTGAACTATCCCTTTAATGTGATGCTGGATTTAGCCAACAGCTGAGGAGGTCGCTCCTATTAGGATTCAAATGGCAACACTATTTTCAAAGCGGGCTGGGTCCAAGTACGTGTACGGGACATCCAGATCAGCGTTTCTGTAGTTGATTTCATCACTCAACATGTGGAGATTGTGCTGAAAGCTCTTTATTTGTCTGCAGGGAAAATCCTCAGTGAAATATTGCTCCGGATACTGGCCAACCGGGACCTGATAAGAGAATTAAAAAAAATATATATATATATATATATGGTATGATTTTATGATTTATGTAATAATGGAATGATGTCTTGCATACTTACAAAGTCAGAAGACTCCTTGCTGAGCAGCCACAAGGTGGACAATCCCTTAACTGTGGTGCTGATGTCAGGCAAAGTCTGCATCATAATGTCTTCGCTTGCCCCTTTTTTGGGCGGAGGACGCTGCAGGGTGATGGGAGTGTTGGGCATCCAGGCACCATAGTCATACTGCAATAAAGAAATGACAACAGGTTAATAACGTTTTGAAGCAGTAGAACTGAGACCATCAGTTTTCAGGAATGCAGATTCAAATGTAGATGTCAGCCTCTTGATTAGTCATTCCACTACTTAGTTCTAGACATAAATATTTCAACTACTATTAGATGGATTGCTGTTAAACTTTGTTGTGACATTCATGGTCCCGAGAGGATAACCACTAATCGCTTTAGTGATCCCTTGACCTTTCCTCTAGCAGCACCATGAGGTCCGGTGCTTAGAGAGAACTCTCTCAACAATGCTCTGCTGGATTGCCAATGAATTTGAATGAGACATAAATGTTTCAGGATGAATTACAATTACATTGGTGACCCTCTAAGTTTTCATATAAATATCTAAATGGTTCCTATTTTTTATATTTGCTCAATACTTTACATTACTTGTGCTTATTATAAAATGTAATGATATAGATACTATAATACATTTTTATATGTTAAAGGTAATTTTAAAGGTCAGATATCACCTATTTGACCAGAATTAAGTCATCCATATCCATCCGCCTCAACAAAACAGCACCATTATAACTGATCATCCCGGTTTATTGAAAGGATTCACCTGTCCACTGTTCACAGCTGAGTGCTGGCATGAGCAGGTGAAGATCACCATGGTGACAAACTTGATCAGCTCAGTCACAGTGGAAAATTTCTGTGGAATTCCTGAGAACAGAGCATACATTCCATAACTAAAAGATGAACCTGTCTAATTTTAAAATGACTTCATAAATGTTTGATCTATGATTAATTTATAATAATAACATGGTATTTTTTGGTATTTGGCACCTGTTTGTTCTTGAGAAAGGAATCCGTATTCAAAAATGTCTCGAATCCAGGCCTGCAGCTCACGGTCCTTCACAACCATCTGGTCAGTCTTGTAGTAGTAGCTGAGTACTTTCTTCACAAATCTTGGACAAATGTGGAAAAGTACTTTAAAACACATTCCTCCTGGAATTACAAATCTTATACACACTATAGTAGTAAGAGGCTCTTTGTTGAGATAATTTGATGGCCATCCCTTTATCAGATAATGTTGGCAAAAACTTGTATTCATTGGAAGTTAGCATGATGTTTAAAGCAGTAACCAGGTAAAAAAATATACTTATTAACTTTCTTGCTGACATTTAGATGAGAAAATTGATTAATAGTGGTACTACATCAATTTGTTGACTCATATTTACAGTATACTGGCTAATACAGCTGTAGTTTAGATAATGTCTGAGCAGAGAGTTACTTCACTTCGAATAAAATCGTATAAAATTTACACTCAAATCCTATATTTGTATTTGCAGGTTACATTCCTATGAGCATTGGTGCTCCCTGTTAGCGGGCCATCTCATTGACACAGATGTGTTGCCTTTGTGCTGGCCAGCTAATCTGTCCTCATTACCATCACTTCAGTTGAGGAAAACATGTGATCCAGCAAATAACTACACCAGTAATTACAAACAGTTTTTCCCTGCTTGTAAAAATGAAATCTCTGATCTCAGCTTTAAACCGAAACCTTATCTCAGACACAGTGCAAACTATGGCCTGAACGCATTATAACTAACAAGGTGTAACTGTTTGTACACACACACACACACACATATATATATATAGATAATGCAAAATGAAAAATGTCTGTTATACTTGAAGATGATATCCCAAAGTTTGAGTCCATCATCCTTGTAGTAGTAGTTTGGTATGTCCTTAACCCCACGGTCATCAATGTCTTCTGGTATACAGAGGGACTTGTAGGTTATTGAGGACAGTGATCTCTTCAGGATTTCAAACATGGCCTCTCCCCCAGAAGCTGCAAACTAGAGAACAGTCATATATGAAGGAAATATAGTGAAAAGACATGATATGTAATTGTAGGTCTTCAGAGCGTGGTGGTCTTTTGTACCTTTGTGAATACTCCATTCTCAGAAATTAGAGCAAGTCGAGCCAAGATGTTGATTTGCAGAGTGTAGCGAGTGTGAGGTACAAGGAGCTGGGAGAAAGAGGGCACTCTGTTACTAACATCATTTGTAAAAGCAGAAATCTCAATGCTTCCTTGCCATTTAGCATTGTGAAATACTGGCACTTTGAATAAAACACTAAAACACAATGGTTCATCAACTTTGGTGGATAGATCCTGTTACCTTGTACAGTGGATGCATCATGGGCACATTGCGCAGAAGTGACACTGCGAAAACTTCAGCCAGCAGGTGAGTGCGCAGCAGGTGAACGTTGAGTTCATGTTCTTGGAAATCTGCACTTCTCACAAAGATCTTGGCCATCAACCAGTCATACTCAGAGTCAGTGGGATAAAAGATTGGATTGTCCTCTGCGGGGGTTTGCTTTAGCTACAGGACAAGATAGTGGGGCATGGTTAATTGAATCCAATTAATCCAACACTGACAGAAACCATTCATACTAGCTGCTGCAGAAGAAATTTCCATTGTCTTGCTTAAAGAACTTTTTAGCAAAGTAGATGGTTCCCTATCCTTTGAGTGATAGCCGCCATGTTAGAGCACTTATCTCACCTGAATAGCAATTGGCAGCAATTTGTCCTCTGTTTTTTGGAGCAGGACGAGAGGGGCCATCAAGTACTGCTTCTTCCCATTGATGGTGTTTGGTGCAACTCCATTCAAGTTCTTATAGTCACAAAGAAATATGTTGCCTTTCTGTTTGAAATTATATGGAGGTTGAAAAAAATCACAGGACAATTGGGGTCAAAACATGATTTTATCACAAAGATAAATAAGATATGAGGAAATTTGTAGTCAGTATGAGACGGTCACCTCTGTTTCTTCCTTCAAGCTACCCTGACCATGGAGGAAGACCTTGTCATCAGTGACAGGAAAGTTTTCTGGCAGTGCTTTGCAGCATCTGATCATTATGGGGTTGACACCATTTAGATACTGGGAGGCAAAGAAAGCATCGTTCTTCCATTGTTCCCTGACATATTCTAGGAAGAAAAACAATCTGTTAAACAAACTTTTATTGTAATTTCTTATTATCAGAGTGTGCAGCTTGTCGCTGGCATGTTTCGATGTTTCTTTGACTCATACACATTTCTTCTCTGTCACCTTTTTTTCTCCCAATAATACACAAAGTAAAGAAGCTAATAGATACAGAGCCAGTTCCTCAGCCCTTAAGGACAAGGGACACTCTTTAGGACGGTAATGTATGTATTTGGGCCAGAGAAGACAGATGGTTTGAAAGAGAAAACATCACTCAACAGAGGAGGTGGTTTAAGACACCAAGTTTCAGCCACCTACAATGCCGTCTCCAAAATAAGCTGATATAGTATGTAAAATTTGAAGTACATTATTTCAGAATATGAAAACTATTTTTTTTAAATATATTTTTAGGCAGTATAATGGTGCACTGCTGAATATCCAAATGCATACAGTTAAATATAAATATTATTTTGCATACAGTATCAAGTAACCGATTTAATCTATCATCAGTACCAGTATCAACAGTACCTGATATTTCAGTCGTCCTGCAGCTGAACACCCGATCAAATGCATCAATGTCAGTCCATGGCTCGTCGCGTTTGTCCAGTCCTTTCAGAAACGGCTCAACCCCCCTAGAAAATAAAAAACAAAGTACATTTATTATAAAGGATTTGGTAATTTGACAAACAGGCAGTTTAATGGTTAATTATTAGATATCTGTTGGAGATTTTAGGACTTTACCCAGTTATTGCAGTCCACAAAAACTCTGTTCCCTTGGTGAAGGAGAACCTAACCTCAGGAGGCAGAGTAAAAGGACTTTTGTCCTGAATGCAGTAAGGTAGTCCTTCTTTCAACATGGACCAGCTAGAGAAAACAGAGGAGAGGAACGAAGTGTAAACTGTTTTAATTTAGAGTGTTCAAGCATATAATACATGACAAGCATTCCATATTACAATTTGGCACTGCATGTTGTAGTGTAATGCATTTAAATAAATTCCCAAAAGAGGTGAAGGCAGTTTAGATGCATGTTAGCTTTGAGGTATACAATGCTAATAATTTTACAAGCTCTGATCTCTTACCAGTAGTCCTTCTTACGACCAATGAGCTCCTGCTCCCTGGCACACTTGGCAAGATTGTGGGTTTCTTCATAGGCTATCACAGCTTAAAAGAGGAAGCACAAGATTTACATTTTTTGAAAGGTAACAGGATTGAGGAACATATAATGACAGTAGAACATAAATTAATCATTTACATTTGGTGAATGTAAAATTGGAAAGAGGAAAAAGAATTGTCTTCCATATTTTTAGGAAGACATTTTCCTGATTGCATGTTTAAAGCTTTCCACGTAAAATGAAATGTGGGGCAAGACTCAGATTCCTTTTGTTGTGTAATGAGTCGTTTTGCTAGCAGTGTGAGTGAGATGGCCTGTGTAATATCTTTATCCATAGGAGAGTTCACAGATATAATATAGCATGAAAGAGGTCGGTCTTGTTGTTTGTTGTAAGTCTTTGATATGTAGTTAATCATTAGAGACCATAAGGAGGGCATAACCACAGTTGATGGACAAGCGTACCTGTTTCCTGTCTGCACTTATCACATGAGGGGGAGACATGGCATGTAGTCATAATTTTGTCAAGATTGTCAAGTCTATGTACAACCTTGTATTGCATATGATGACGTTTATGGAGCTGTTGTTGTCACTTATTAACATTACAACAATTAAGTATAAAAATTTGGTAATTTTCTTATTTTCTAAGCTTTTTCAAAATATAGTCAATGGTGTATGGCTTTGCTCAAGCCTATAGCACTAACAGTAAAAAGAAATATCTTAAATGTGCACCTTACTGAATCAGGACTTATGTGAAAATTGTGGCCCCTGCATGGCCCCCAATTTAGAAAAATCTTAGATCCACCACTGGCTTGAGGGACCTGTCTTTATTCTTCTGTGGTCAGTAAATAGCACACAAGATGTAGGACAAGCACATTTTCACAAACCTTTTCCCTCTCTGAAGCAGTGAACCTCTCGGTCAGTGATCCAGCGGTGGATGGGAAAGCAGTATTTTTGTCCGTCAGGGGATTTCACCTCAACCTTCGCAGGGTACCAAGAGTCTGCAAAGAATGGGAAATGCTGCTTGTCCAACTCTATCAGGAACAATCCTCCAAGGGATTTAGGGCAGTTGACAGTGAAATGTGCAACCTGGGGTAATGACAGTTTGAAAACATTTATCCATGAGGTGGAGATTAAGTGGATTTGACAGAATAAAGCACAATATGATGGCCTTACAACTTTCCTGAAATGTAGTAAATGTAATAGTGTGTTATGAGTTCTAACTTAAGAGGGATGTTCCAAACTTACTTCTCCACTCCAGAGGGCCGGAGTCCCTTTGAAGCCTCTAAGCCAGCTGCGATTGCTCTCCCCTTCTGTGCCCACCAGCTTAATGAAGACATTGTTGTTGGTGGCGGCCAAAGCCCAGTTGGTGGTGAAAACTGTTACTTCGTAATTCACCATTTTCACCCTGGAAAGTTGAAGAATCCTGGCAGGGATGGAATAACATCAATCACTCTCAGCCAGCAATGATTATGTTACCTGTCACTAAATGAGCTTGAGTGCATAGAATCAATTTGAATAGAAAAGGTTATTATAGTGACTCCCATTACATTTGTCTTTTCTTATTGATCTTTTGCAGTCAAATCTTTGCAGACTCAAATCATTTCAAAAAATCATCCCTCTTACCTCTGCTGAAAAGATTGAGGAGTTTCGTTGATGGTACTAACCACTGCATTCTCTTTTTATATAGCCAGTTTAGTGGGTGTGACTTGTTAGCACCAATAACTGACTCTGGTAAGGCAATATGTACCAGAAAAAAGACATGATTGTGAAACTATGACAGATTAGCCAGCGCTTAAACACAAAGACGTTTTAAAAATTGTGAAACATGAGTAACATGACTAAGAAATACAAATGTTTGCGTTTTGGGATTTCTGTAATGGATTCTATTCTGAACTGGGACCAGACAATGGTATTCGGTCATTGTGTAAAACCAGCTTTCGTTGAAACAGGATTGGGTCAGTCCCTGTTCCTGTTTTAGTAGAAAACACATGATAGGTTTTTTTTGAGGAATCTGCTGAAGATGCACCGCCTCACCTCATCTTTTTTTCTTTATTCACTGTCGACAGTAAAACAGTTAGTGACTGTTATGATGGAAAATTTGACTGACTAATTCTCCCATTCACTCATAGGCTATATAAAATTAATGTTGTCAATCATTAATGAGACTTTTCGGTAATGACCTGTGAGGTCAGAATGGACTTTTAGAGAAAACTGGGAGTATAGGTGTGGTTGTTTGTGTGGTGTGGATACAAGTTTGCTGTGAGTTGACCCAGGCCCTGTGGTGGGTACTGGGGCTCATTGCAGGTAATATGTCTTGTCCTGCCTTGATCTACTAAGGAAAGACATTCATACTTCTATATATATATATGTGTGTGTGTGTGTATATTTTTGTAATTGATCTACAATTTTGGCTACAAGTCAGGCTCGGGAACCCATTCTTGATACAAGAGGATCAACCACTCAGGCAGCGTGAAATTAATAAGGTCCGTAGACCTGTTTGGACGTGTTGGCACTCATTCGTGTTGTATTTGGGGACAGTGTGTGTGAAAGGATGGGGGATCAAAAAGGCCGCTTCCTGTGGGTGTCAGGACATGTTTGACACTCTTAAGCATTGAATTTGGTGGTGAGAAAAATGGCCAGGTATCAATAAAGTGTTTCTGAGGTGGGTGGCATGGACAAAAAGTCATCCTAATGGTGAAGATAAGGGTATAGTCCAAATGGCTGAAATGTTGACTATGAGGACGAGAAGGCTAAAGAGTGGACCTGAAAGGTTTGACCAGTTGGCACACCCGTTCATTTGCATTTCCATCATGTAATATCATAACCACAGTGACTCTGCGCATACACTGGAATGAAATCCTCTTTTAAAATGTATCCATCCATACAACTCCCATTGACATGTTATGCAGTTCCCTGGATCAAGTTGCAGAAAACGAAGAGATCAACATATTTTAAGATATTTGTATTGAACACAATTTATCAATTTATCAGTGCAAAGCTACGACAACACACAACAGTTCTCAAAGAAATAATTCATTATTTCACTTTTAATAATAGGAAATAAAATTACTTAAGTTCATTTCAGTCGTTTTGCATCATTTGATCAGAATGTGTAAAGTCCTCCACAAAAAGTCTTGGTACAACTATGATCCATTTTTCTCTCTCAAATATCAGCTCAAAATGCAGTAAACAGTCCCTCCACTCATCCCTTCAGTTAATACAAAGCTGAGGAATGGTGTCAGATCTGAGGGGAGGGGACTGTCAGGAGTCCAGTGGGCTTCAGCTTGTTGATGCCTCCATCCAAGATACAAACCCGCGGGAAGTTCACCTTGACCAGATGTGTTGCAAACTAGGAAGAAATTCAGAAGAGAGAGAGCAAATTTATTTTTGCAGGTAGGCTACTTGTTACCTCGTATTACTCAAACATTAATATGTGGGTTCAATCATAGATTGAACATAAAGATTGACAGTACGTCACCATTTTCTCTTGCTGTATGGCTTACGCACACTTGGATGACACCACAGGTGCAGTATGGAGGCATTCTATGTTTTTTTCAGTTGTTATTTTACGTTTGAAAAATCGGTCACCATTGACATTTTATTGGATGAGGCTGCAACACCTATTAACACTGAAACTCCAAAAGTGTTTTGTGGACTCAAACATTTCACCCACCACCTCCATCGGCATAGTGGTGAGTAGATAATGAGCAATGAATTATCATTTTTCAGTAAACTATACCTTTAATGTTTTTTCAATAATAACTTTAAGGAAGTAAAGTGAACTATATTAATTTGGAATTAAAGACAGAGCACTTGTTGAGACCGAAAATGCCTCCAGCAGGAAATGCAGAGACCTCGGTTCTGAACTGACATTATCCTTTATGAAAACATCCATTGAGCTGATGAAATCATGTGAATTAAACATCACATAATCACATAATACTGTGAGCTCAAACAGTATTAGGTAAAGCACCAGTTACTGTGGAGACAATGTGCAGTTGTAAACTCTTCTTCAGAAAGACCTGCACACTGTTTGCACTTGCTCATATTTAGACAATGCACAGGTCACTGCTCAGTTGAGTTAGTGTACACAGTGTTTCTTCTTCAGAAAGACTTGCAGACTTGAGCAAGTGTGTTTAAACTTGCTCAAGTGTAAATAGTGTGCAGGTTACAGCTCAGTTGATTAAGTGTACAAAGAGTTTCTTTAGAAAAAATCTGGTTGTGAAATCTTAACTCTGAATGCCAATAGGGTTTAAATTAAAGTTAAGTTTTACAGTAAAGCCTGACCACACATTAGACTCAGAGCTAACGATGAGGCTACTGGTGCAGTGCACCGAAATTTGCATTTACATACAATTGAGTCCTTATCGACATTTAATTTTGTGACTGTATAACTGAGAGGTGTGATGAATTACTGGGCTTCATTATGAAATTCAAATTTGGAAATTTTAAATAAAAGACAGAGGACTTGCACCAAACCAGTGCAGTTTCAGTTTTAATACACTTTTTTACAGGCTGATAAGAGGTCACCATGACCTGCATTGACCACTGAAATTAAATCAGTTCTTCTTTGAGCCTGAATGACAACTGGTATAAATTTGAAGAAATTCCATGCAGGCACACTTGAGATATCATGTTCAAATGTCCAAAAATATGTTTTGGGAGGACACTGTGGCCTTAAACTGTAACCACCTAAATATAATCAGTATTCCATCAGTCTATTTCAACATTTATGCCACATTTTAAAGCATTCTTAAGAAGTCATGTTCAATGACCTTGACCTTTGACCACAAAATTCTAATTAGTTCATCCTTGAGTCCAAATGAACATCGAAAACATAATGCCTCTGGCCACTGGCTGTCGTTGGAGGGGAGAGATAAAACTGAAACATTCAACTTAAACATAATACTGTGAGCTACAAAGTTATCAATTAGGGTCCAGTTACTGTAGGGATATACTGTAAAGTTATGCTTAACAGATTATTTTGTTGTTACTCCATATTTGAGCAGTGTAATGTAAGGGCCTCAGTGCTTGGAGGGTGCGGTTCCACTACACCAATATTATGACACATTAGTTGATTTATAAAAGCTTCTGTTTGTTGTCTTAAGAACATGAAATCAACTTTATTGAGCAAGTGTAGCCAGAGTGCACGTGTGTGTGTTCTTCAGAATGACTTGCAAGACCTAGTCCCTGTGCAGCTTTCTCCTACATTCATCAACGTTCGACAAAGTTGCTTCCTCTTCAGAAAATCTGGTCATAAATTGTAAGATTACATCACAAAGAAAAGTTACTGTAAAACCTTAAACTCATTGATGAATGAAGTTGTGTGATGCAATGAATGACTAAGTGAGGATTGAACTTGTGATCCAAAGCTTTACTTGAAGGTTCAGTGTGTAAGATTTAGGTGAAAGGGATCTATTTCAGAAGTTGAATCTTAGTGATGTTTTCACTAGTGTGTCATACTCTTAATTGTACAAATTATTTCTTTACTGTAGAATGGGCCCTTTATATTCAAATATTATATTTACATATTGTTCAGACTGGACAAACTAAACCTCATTTGAGTTTTCATGACAAGTGAAGGTTTCCACAGTTTCTCTTTCATGTTTGGAAGGAGAGGGTCAGGTCAGCGGTATTCAGCTGCAACATGAAACTTCACCACTAAACACTACACACTGAACCTTTAATTATTAAGAACAACTATAATAACTGGAAATATAAAAACATGTAACAAAACAAACCCCTTTTATCTGTGTGTCTTGGCAAACAGTTTAAAACTTTAGATTCAACTTGCTGAAATGTCCTCTCTAACTCTGAATGCCAATAGGGTTTAAATGTTAAAGGTTTACAGTAAAGCCTGACCACACATTGAGTGGACTTAGTGTTTGCCCTTTGAGCTAATGATGAGGCCACTGATGCATTGCACAGAAATGTGAATAGCATTTAAGCACAATTGAGACCTTATCGACCTTTAATTTCAAGAGCTCTACGACTGAGAGGTGTGTTCAATTACTTGGGTTCATCACAAGACTCAAATGTAAACTAAGTGCAGTTTTGGTCAGGGTGGGGGGGGGTGTGTTTTGTTTGTGTTGTAGTAAAACACTACATTCAAGCTTCATCATCATGCCTAATGCCTGAATGACTATGAGGCTGATGATTGTCTCATGATGATGACGACAATCACTTACTCAAGTACAAACTTTTACACACATTGTGATTTCTCTGCAAAATATCAAAAGCACAAAAGCCACAATTTTAGAGCTATGACCATGTGCTAATTACATAAGAGCCACTAACGCCTTACAAAAAGCTTGATGATAATTTCTCAATCTTTCTTCAGTTCAATTGTTCACTTATCTACCAACAGTTAAATTATAGAGCGTTTGTCAGACAGTGAGATCTTGCTGCTGCTTCCTAAAAATACCAGACTCTCCTCAATTAAGGAGATATACTTGTTTTTACTTTCCAACATGGAAGGAGGACATCTTTTCTAAATTGGGATGTTGCCTGAGGCGATATCCCTGCTGAGTTTTTAAATTTAAGTTTGGCTAATTTATTCCAAAGAGAGCACAAAAGGAGAATTCATTAAGATTGATATAGTTCTCTGTTCTGTTATGCTGAAGCGAGCAAAGATATTTTTATAGACGAAAGAAAAATGATTTATGTAAAATACCGTTTCATCCTTGGCAAATGCAGTGTCTTTAAGAAAAGGAAAAAGGTTAACGTTTTTATTCTACTTTATATCAGAACAAACTGATTTTTATTTTCAAAGAGTAGCACAATCTCATTGAACACCTGCTCTTGTGCAGTTCACCAGTGATGCCAGTGTGATCCAGCTGGATGATCAGAGGGATTTCAGAGGAGACAAGATGACCCTGAGGTCTGCCTTCACTGCCCTGACATGACCCTGTCCCACCACACTAACGAGATGTCACATTCCATGACAAATGCTAGAGAGGAGGAACACATACTTCATCTGATTTCCTTTTTGATTTCCAGAGCTGAAGAAGCCTTTTGGAGGAGAGGTGAAACTTCTTCAAGAAACACAAGAGGTTCCAGCTGCCAATGTGTAACTCCAGAAGATACCATGACCTGGATGACTGAGAATCTTCACATATACGTACATTGATTTTGAGTCTATACATAATGCTATCTGTTAAGATTGTTAGCTAGCCGAGGAGAGTAGGCCTATAGCATTTGATGGCCGATATGAAAAGTTAATAATCCCCCAAAGTTTAAAATCCAACAGTCATTGAAACATTCACTCAAACAAGAAGGGATCAGCGGTGTCAGTACTATCTGGGCGCCATGACAAATTCATGACAATTAATCCAAAATGTTGAAGCGATAGTTCAGTCTGAACCAAAGTACTGGACAAACTAATGGATGGACATTGCCATTCCTAAGGCACTGCCACTAGCAAAGCTAAAAAACAGCAAACTGGAGTAAACTGGAAGCTTCAGGATTTGGATGAGCCACAGGGGAGTTTACACCAGGACCGAGGAGGACTGGATTCCAGTTGGAATTAAATATTTAGGTATTGCACTGCGTTCAGGTTCAGAATAAAAATTAATTAATTAATAAACCTCACTTTGTGGTGAAAAATTATATTAAAGAACTGTTTGTCACCCCACAACTTAATTGCTTCGCTATGATGATACCACTTAACATTTAGAAGGGAATTTTTAAAGATTATCATCTGATTAATAAATAGGATAATACACTCAGATTAAGGTTATCTCTGATGCATTATTACCACAATTAATAGTATAATTAATACCAACCATACCACTTTCTGCCTAAATATTACAACACAACTTCTACAAAATCTCCATATTAAAAAGTTAATTCACTTTATGATTCAGTTGACAAATCACCAGCCAATCAAATTTGGCTAATATTAACACATTTTCTTTGAAAATTAAGATCTAATTAGTCTTACCTTCATACCTTCCAAAATATTTACTAATAAAAATATATTTAGAAAAGATAACGGTTTATACACAATGTATATTAGACAACTCATATGAATGGTGTCTATGCTGTTGTGCTGTACACTGGTGTATCTGTGCTTGTGTGGCTGCTTTCTCACCATAGCAGCATTCTTCATGACGTGGCTGATAACCACAATGACACGTCCTCTGTAGTTCTGGAGGACTCCTGTTGCAGGACACTGCACCAGCTCACCGTCAGGGTTGAAGGCTGTGTTGGAGGGAATATTGATGCTGCCAGAAATATGGCCTTTGCTGAAACTAGAGGCAGTTGAGTTAAGAAGCGCAGTTTGAACTGGTAGAGATGCATGCATGCAAAACCTGAGACAGAGAGCCCACACCTCTCCATCGTTCCATATGCCTACATGGAAAGCTGAATGTAAGGAGAACGGCAGCAAGACCCCGAAAGGGAACAGAACAGAGCGGACATCAAATGATCATAATTAAATTATGAAAAGGAGAGAAGCAGGAGTGAAAGTGGGTTGCAGAGGAAGCAACAAGTCGCCTTGTTTGAGTTTTCCAACATGGAAGTGAATCAGCTGAGCTATCAGCTGTCGTGGGCTGACTTTGAGATCAGCTGCTGTAGCTGTCAGGTGAGCTGAGCTTGACTTAGAATTTGCCCGTCTAAAGCAATGCTAGACTCAATTTGCATAGCTGCTTTCAGATCCTCCATATTTCTACTGTGTAAAATGTGAAAGGTTCCATAGTTCATATCTGAAGACATAGTTGGGCTGGTCGGCAAGTCTTAAACAGGCCACAGATATGTCGTCTGCCCTCTTTAAATATGCATCAGTCCACATCCCTATGTTTACTCAACAGCACTTCTTATTCTGGGTTGAAAGTGAAACTGAATTGTGGTGAATTAGCTTTTGCTTGTTGTAGGGGTTGAGAAGTTCATTTTTACAAGCATCATGTGTCATTGAGAAAAATGAAAAAAAAAAGGGAAGAGAAAAGCAGAGATAAATAAAAAATCACTTCAAGCTGATGCTGCTACATGTAAGTTCCCACCAAACATGTTAACCTCTTGGCTCCCAATAATCTCCATATTTCCAATTTCATAGCTAGGAACAGGAATGGTAAGGATACTCCTCCACATTTCGAATGTCGACAGCGATGATTTTGGGCTTGCCGGCTTTAGTCCTTTTGGTGGGGCCAGCCAATGACAACTCACAGAGGTCAATTAAGTCCTCAGCTGAGACCCTGGGGGATACTTCTTTCTTCAAGTCACACAGTGCCAGAGGCTCCCGAGACTACAAGAGTGGAAGTCACAAGACAACAGATCACAAGGGAGAGCATGAGAGCAAACACATTCAGAGAAAAATTAATTTGGAGAAGTAATGACACAAGAGAGAGAAAAATTTGATTGGATATAACTGTTTCTTTTAAATCAGGAGACCAGTTCTTAGGCATGACAGTCACATACTTTTCAATCTCCTCTACATAAATGATATTTTTGACGCTATCTTTTAAAAACACTTCATCCCATTGACTCATAACAGACTTTTCATATGTCTTACCACAAAAAACCATTGCAGCTGTGAGAGCACAACAAATGACCACCAGCAGCAGCCAGGACACGATTCTTTGCCAGTTTCCACCTGCACTGCCAAATGGGTTCATTAAAGCACCCAGCCAGAGGCATGGCTGCAGGGGACTGAACCCTGGTCTACACTAGTGAGCCAGTGATGGATCTCTGTGATTCCCAGATGCCCTTGAATAAGTTTAAGCAAAAAACAGTTTTTCACATTCAAACAAATGTATTGTGGTAATGAGTTGTTATTTAGCAGTCTGGTATTTCTATTCATTGATATGCAAATTCAATGGATGACCAATGCCAACAGAATTATCTATGAGTTTCAGCACATTGTGTGATTTGTAGAACAGAGAAGGATTTAAAGGGATAGATCACCCAGAAATGAAAATTCACTCATTATCTACTCACCACTGTGCCTATGGAGGGGTGGGCAAAGTGTTTGAGTCCACAAAATACTCCAATACAATTGAAGTAACTGGTGACCAAGACTTCAAACGTTATAGAACAACAGACTAAAACAACTGTAAAAAAATGTGTAAATAATACCTTGTTTTAAGTTCTCCAGAAGTGGCTAAGCTAGTGGATGTTAGCATGTCCGACTGTCCCGAAACGCACCTTGTTGGAAGATATCAGCGGACATTTAGGCTTAAAACATGGTGTAAATGACCTAATTTACAGTCACATATGAATGTTGGGGCTTGCGGACACTTTGATGACATCACACGTGCAGTATGGAGGCATTTTATGTTTTTTCTGTTGTTGTATTACATCTGGTCACCAGTTACTTCAATTATATTGGATTCTGCTCCAAGGCTGTTTACGAGTTGAGTAGGTAACTCTTGGTAACTCCAAGTAAAGTTCTAATAAGCTACAAAAGTGTATATAATGGTTTAAAGAAACTAAAGCCGTTTTCAGACATGAACTCTAGACAATGTCAGCACACTTGAGTTTAAACTTTCTCCAGAATTTATCTTTCCAGCATGAGGAACATAGGAGGAGATTCTCCGGTCAGATACCTTCACAACGATTATCTAGAGTTCATTGCAGCTCTGGAAGCAGCTAGTTTCTTTATTCAAGCACTGCACTTTTACTCCACCAGGATTTTACAAACAGCACAACGCAATGTTGAATGATAACCCATACTTAATGGCGTATAAAGCAGTTAGTATACAATTGAATGTTTTGCATAAACTCAGCATATTTCCAATCATTCGGTACAAACACGATCCGACGGGCTGGCGTGGCCGTCTGTCTTTGTTGTCTTTGGCTGCCGAGAGTGTGATTAATCAAGACGCACCAGCTGTGCCAATCAGCTCACCAGCTACTGATCTCATGGGCCATCTCCACACCTCTCTCTCCATGCTCACCGCCACAATCATTCTATCAACCAAATCAGTATCACATCTGAAACTAGAATTATCACACTGCTGTTGTCTGTGTCTGCCCACCATTGCAGTTTCAGTCTACATACATTTTTTCCAGACTCATTTGAGGATATTGTGACCTTTACCTTTGACCGCTGAAATAAAATCAGTAAATCTTTGAGTCCATGTGGCAAAATGTGAAGAAATCCCCTCGAGGCAGATGAGAGACATCACATTAAAGAGACTAAATGCATGATTTGTAAGGCCACCATGACCTTGACCTCTGAATTCTCAACACGCAACTAATCAGTTGGTTTGTCGGTCCAAATTTAAAAGGGTTTTCTCATGACGATAACACAAGGCAAGGAAGGGTTTACAAAGTCATCAGTTTATCCTTGAGTTTGAGCCACATGTAATGAAATTCCCTGTAAGGGTTCCCGATATACCATGGTCATAAGAACATGAGGTCATCACGACCTTAATATTAGTCCAAGTAAAGGTTTGTACCAAATTTGAGGAAACTCCCTTAAGATGTTTATCCTTGGGTCTTCTCCTCCCTTCCTTGGTCCATGCTGTGCGGCTCTCCGGAGCCCGTCCTGGCTCGGGTCCTAGTGGAGGTTCGCCGGTCTGTCGCAGGGCTGACATGGAGGGTCACGCAACCACCAGCACTCTCACCTGAGGACCATCTGGAGCTATGGGTTCACCTGCTGTGCATGTTGGACCATGAGGGAGGCAGGAGTGCCTGGGGGGACCAACCCACCATCGTCCACGTGGGGATTTCCGGGCTGGATTCAAGCCCATGACCTGAGACTGTGACTCTACACACATTATTTTCTCCACTCACCCCAAACGGTCCTGGCAGAGGCCGTCCACACCAAGCCCGGTTCTGCTAGTGGTTTCTTCCACCAGGGAGTTTTTCATGGCTGCTGTTGCTCATACTTGCTCGGTGTGGAACAAGTTGGATTTTGTCTTTTTTAAGATCTTGGACTTTTTGTGCAGCACCCTGAGACAACTGTTTGTTGTGATACCATGCGATATGAATACATTTGATTGATTGATTGATTGATTGATTTATGAGACATTGCATTCAGAAAGCAAAAAACATTTTTTTTGTAAGTCACAGTGACCTCGACCTTTGACGACGAAATTCGAATCAGTTTATCCATGAGTCCAACTGAACATCCTCATATATGTAAACACCTATAGGTTTCGCCTGAAGCATGGACTATATTAAAGTAAAGCCAATGTGGCTAAAGTGCCTGAAACCTTTATTCTCTCAAATGAGAAAATGACCCTACTTCTAGTGAAGCTTCAAAACAGCAGTTCACAAAACATTAGGTGACATCACAGTAAGGGCAGCAAACTGTAATGTTCTATGGGAACAGAGGTTGGACTCCATTGCCCAGGGCTCTGTCCAAAGTGCTTAGCTGTATTTAACTGGACTGCATTGTCTGAGTGTACTAAATGAGGACAATGGACAATGACAGAGAGCTGAATTTTGTCACCTACTTGGCTGGGCTCATGTGAGCTGATCAGCAATGATGAGTATTTAGATCTACTTCAGTAAAACCAAATAATGTCTCTCTCTCTTCACACACACACACACACACACACACACACACACACACACACACACACACACTGCCTGTCACTCACATGCACCAGTGTAACCCTCACAAAGACAGCTGCACAAACACACATACACAGATACACACACATCTCCAAACATACAATATTCTGACAGAAATGGGTAAAATATGCAGCCTGTGATTGCCTGGGGCCCATGAAGCACTGTGTGGTGACTTAAATGTCATGATGAGCAGTGTGTGCCAGCCGAAAAAATGGCTTAATGACACTTTCACATTTCACTGGCCTGACAGTGATGAGCCCAAACTGGAGCTGCAGATAAACAGACACAAATGCTGTGTTTATTGTGTGTGTGTGTGTGTGTGTGTGTGTCTTGGTTGTCACAGTTGCCAGAAAGAAATCCTGTCACATAACATATTGAACTGGGGACTACAGTGTTGTGCAGCTTAGAGACAAGTTGAATAACTCATTTAAAGAGCCTTCACACTGTGTAAACGCTGAAATATTCACATATCAAACAACACAGTCTGTGGTATTTGAGCATAATCTCTAAAAAATGCAGTGAAGGCACTTCACAATCGGTCACGTTGCAGTTTATAACAATTTGTTTTTTTTTGTTGTTTTTTTTTTGGCAAAATAGAAGTTATCTGTGAACAACTACAGGTTCTGGCACTGTTGCCTCACAACAAGGTTCATGGTTTGAATCAGGGGTCTTCTGTGTGGATTTTGCTTGTTCTCCCTGTGTCTGTGTGCGTTTTCTCCAAAGACATGTAGAGTGGGATTAGTTAGAGACTGAATCGGCCGTAGGTGTGAATGTCAGGGTGAATGTTTTTTTTTGTCTCTGTATGTTGACCCTGCGATAGGCTGGTGACCTGTTCAGTTTGTACCCAGCCTCTCACCCAATGTCAGCTGGGATTGGCTTGCTATGCAGTGTCTAAGTGAAAGAAACCAATGACAGACTACAATTAACCAGCCAATAGAACACAACGTTGCAGCCTTGTCAGCAGACAATGCTGTTGCTGCAAAGAAGCTACAAAGTTTAGAACGTGGATGGCTCACACACAGCCTGCAGCACAGAAGATCTAAGCAATCACCAGATTTTCAAGGTGGGCACCCAAGGTAAATGTCACAGAGTCAGTATCCGGCAAAATGTGAAATATGTTGACTATGTGCCCTTCAATGTGCACAAAGGAAACAGTATCCTTAACCTGCAACCTTTGACCACCAAATTATAATCAGTTCATCCTTAAGTCCAAGTGAGCATTTGTGTCAAACTCCATCAAGGCCTCCCTGAGAAATTGCTTTCATGAAAATACAATGGACCAACTGACAAACCGCAAACATAATGCTTCCATCTGTCTGTCTGTCTTTCTGTCTGTCTGTCTGTCTGTCTTTCTGTCTGTCGCACTGAGCCCAAAACTTCACACATAATGTGTGAAGTTTATAGCCAGACAAAGAGCAAAATAGCATAATTGAGGTCAGGATTTGAGAAAAATGCACACACACACACACACACACACACACACACACACACACACACACCAATTTCTGCATAGTGGATGATTTTCATATAAAAAAAAAAGGTCCCAGCTTTTCTTGTGAATCTCCTTTTGATTCTGGCCACACAGCTGTAACCAACAGTGCTATAACACGAAAGATTGTTCTTGGAAACATCAGAAAAAATCATCATGCACTTGTGACATCTGAGCAACAGAAACTGGAATGGAACTGTAGTTTCGAAGTTGCATAAGACACTTTTTCCTATCTGGCTAAACTATGTGATTGCATAAAGAGATGTTCATGTTTTATCTAATAGATGAAATATGTGACAAACTCAACATATATGTATGTAAGTTTTAAAACATTTCAATGTACAGTGGGGATTTTGTAAAAGATTGCTTCTGTTTACTGAGTAAATGAATGTTATAAAGGTGTGATTATGCCTGAGCTCTGTGCGAGTTACAACCTTTTCCTATTCAGAACAAAAGCCTTCTTCATAGCACACATTTCAACATGTCACAGAAGGGAAAGCACAGGTGGTAAGAAGAAAAACAATAATGGCTGAATTCCATTTAGCTGCTTCTGTTTCACGGTGCTGGTATTTTGCTGGCACACTGTCTCACTATCATGTCTCACTGTCCAACTATGACAAGTCAAAAAGTCTGCTGTGATAATGGCCCTTATCTAATTGGGAAAGCTCCACTCTCTCACAGTTTCACATCTTCACCGGAACATGAAGCGCCCAAATACAGTGGCAAATTGGAACTAGGGAACATTCCTGTTAACTCGTGGACCTCCATTTCTACAATCATTGAAATATGAGCTCTGCCAGCTGTTAGATGACGCTGAGTAAAACATCTGCTCATCCACAGGGAATGGCACCAGCCTCCTGTGCACTCTGCCGCATGATTTATTACAATATATATTCAAAGCATACACTGTTCATGACAACTTCCTGCACCAATCTCACCCCAGCCTATTAATGAGAAATCCCACATTCATCACGTGTGTCTAGTTTAGTTGTGGGGAACTTATACATGTGGGAAAACATTTCTCTGTCTATAACCAAACAGTTGCCTGACTATGACTTCCCCTCAATATAGCAGGCTAAAGATGCACAATGTAGAGAATGCCATTATTATGAAGGACATTGGCAAAGAAGAAGAGCATGTAGCTAGATCCACAAAGTTTAGATGACCTAAAATCATGCCATGGACTGGCCATTTAATTAAAACACAATACTCATGTGTTTATTTAACTTTTTTCTCTTCTTAGTGACCAAGAGAAAGGAGAAACAAGGAGTTTGTTTTCTCCTTTTCACTCACTCAGACCAAACTGACTGGACAGGAGCTGTCCAATGAGATGGATGTCACTACCAGGGCTGAGAACCTGCTGACGGAGCTTCCTGCTGCAGTGTATGCGAGGTATGCATGGCTAAAGTAGCAGAAATCTACGGCCCTGAGAGCTCAATGCACTTCAATTTAAGAAAACGCATCCAAGTCCAAATGAAATACACTTCATCAATTGAGAAACAGGCTATTAGCTAGTAATATATATATATATTTATTTATTTATTTTGTTTGTGCAGTTTTACAATTACTGCTATCCGCTGTATTTGGTGATTGTATTTACGAGGATGTATTTATAGAGGTCTTCATCAGTGCTTTACAGAACAATTTAGCTATTTACCCATTCACACACGTAAGTTGTACAATCACATTTCCTGGCATTATACATTTATCTGTAATAATTAGCAATCAGCAGAGTGGTTTCTATATTGATTCAACCTATTTTCTGGATTCTAATCTACACTTAGCTTGATGTATATTGTACGTGTGTGTGTGTCTGTGGTCACTCCGGTGATGAGACTGACATTTCCGCACAGCGCACCCTTGCCTGATGTTTTCCGAGGAGGAGGTGGGGTGCAGAGAGATGCGACCATGGATCAATGCCACCGCCCATACAAATGAGCCTCGGCTGAATGAGAAAGATTACAGCAATCACTTGGGCACACAGCAGATAGGGCTGACAAGAGTGTTTGTGAGCTTTCTGGACACGATGCATTCAGGTGTGAAAGGCAAACAGGGCTGTGTCACAAAAACTAAACAAAGACAAAAGGCCTGTATGAGAGACAGCATCACATCAATAAACACTCCTCACAACTATGTATTACCCTTTACGCTGGTTTGTTAAAAAACAGAATTGCTGTCTATTTTTTATTGTTTATATATCTGCATTCCTGTATCTCAGCACTTACTCCTGTGGACGGTGTAATAGTAATAACTTTATTTCTAAAAACTGTTAGCTGTTAGAAAGTGCTTCACAAGAGGATACAACAAAACCAAGAATACAAAACATTAAAGATGACAAGCACAGAGCATCAGACAAATTCATCCAAATGAACTTAACGTATCTTGTTTAAACAAATCAATTTGTAAGAAGTGCTATATTAATATGGTTTTACTTTATTTATGACATATTTTCACTGGTGGTATTTTTAGACAAATCAATATTTGGTCACTTTAGAGACTGAAGCTGCCATGCACTGTATCAAAATAGAACTTTTAATTTACGGAAACAACTCATTCTAATTTGTTGCCATTGTAAACCCGCTGTGTTGTACATGTGTGAAAGGCAAACACCGGGTAAACTCCGAAGCCAATTCTCCAGATTTTACCCAGAGGTCATGTCTGAAAACGGATATAGCCAGACGGTGGACGAAACAACTCAAAACCAGAGAGAGGAAAGTGGATGATGCCAACACATAATGTCTTAAATTTAGGAATTCTTACCAAAAGAAACAAATATCTGAGGAGTAAACTCTACCTTAAAACTTAATCCAGCTGCACATTTAAGCCTGAATACTAATTACTGAGGAAATATAAACTGATTAAAAGATTGTTTACCTATATATAAATATATACCTACTTGCATTTTTTTCACAGATATTCTATAACAAAAAGTATACCAACATATTCTCATTGTTTATACCAAGCTAATACTTCTGAAGCGCCTCGTTAGTTTGTTATCACAAAGCTGAAATTTAAAGAATTATTATTTATTTCACTTGTTTGTTAGGGTAAAGACTTTCTGCAGCATAACAAGTATTATTCTGTGTCCAAAGTATATTTTTAATTCAGCATTTGTTGACAAATTTACTGGTTTCCTTGTACAAAGTCCTCAATGTCATGAATGCAGGAAACGCCAAAGACATACATAATGGGGAAAAACCACAACCAGAAAAAACCCCCAGGAAATCAATAAAGAAAGAATAAAAGAATACTTCCTCATTGAAACACTCGTTAACAGATTTACACATTGAACTTTCAGTTTCACTTTACTTCTGGAACTTTTAAAGTTCAAGTGTGCAGGTCTGTGTGTGTGTATGTGTGTTAAAACTCACCAGGTCTGTCTTGGGCATGTCCTGATAGTCAGATGAGTAGTATGTTGCCGTTTTTCCAAAGCCATTGTCGCCAGCAACCTTTGGCGGCTGAGCATGTTGTCGGTATGTGGCGCTCTTTGGTGTCCAGCAGAAGAGGTTGATGGATTCACGGACGCAGCGCTCGATGTCAATTTCTGCGCGAGAGAAGCGACAGAAGCAAAACAGGAAAAATGTGACTTGCCAAAGTTAGGAGCTACTCCAGGAAACATCATAAAAAACATAGTGGTCTCGATATCACAGTTTTCAAGGATTTAAAGAGTAGACAAATATAAGCAAGGAACATTAAACTGAACCCTGTAAGTGATTCAAAACTTTTTTTATTTATTGTTACACCGATCAATCAATCAGCTGATTAAATGGGCCTTTATCTGGAGGTTTGAAGTAATTGGTCAACACCAAAAAATGCTCAATGAAGTCAAATGACTTTGTGTTCATTATTTTAGACAAAAAGTAAAAGCAACAATATAATATCAGCACTATGTGTTTGTCATTGACGACCCTGCTCTCTAAATATGGGCCATTGATAAACCCATGAGTCAATATGTATTCTTTTTAAGATTACATGAGGTTAACACATACATTGACCTGTCCAGGGTGTACCCCTCCTCTAGCCCAATGTTAGCTGGGATTGACTCCAGCCCCCCACCACCTCTAAAAGGATGAGCATTACAGACAAAGGATGGATTGCGGTAGGACATTTTTACATCCCAAGACTTTAGGTACTGGTCAAATAAAAAGTGGGTCCTGATGGCAGCGCTAAATAAAAAGTTAAGGGATCATTACGTTTATGAGAATTCCTTGAAGACATAATTGTTGTATTAAATGTAATGGTAATTCATTCAGCAATTCTGACGACATTTCACTTAGGACCTCAGAACAGGGGGTATTCTTCTAATCTCTTAATTCTCAACATTTTACTTTAGGAATCGTTCAACTGATGAGTGAGCAAATGAATGAATGAGATGAATGATTAAAAGAAGCACGAGAATTTAAAAAAAAGGTGATTATATCCGTTGAATCAGACATAAAGCCAAGGAGATTATGTAAATGTTTTATGGGATGATTAGTTGTAGAAGTGAGTAGCTTGACCTTGGCATTTTGCTGCCATTAATGATTATAAATCATCCAACACTTGAAGATAATAACTGGGCGTCATTTTGCTGCCGTCCCTCGTCTGAGCTCTTGTCCCGAAATAAGTTTTCACTGCAAAAGCAAAATTTCTCTTCTTCCCTGCTTATGCCTCTATGCAGTATCCATCCTTCTCCTGCTCCTCGCATTGAGAATAGAGCAGATTAGAGAGCAGGACTCAGTGGATTAGCAAAGGATTTGGGTAAATTAGGAATTTTTACCTTCGCACTCTCTCACACTGACAGCCTCTCTCTTTTACTCCCCCCTTTTTGGAGAAAAAGCAAGGCTGGCTAATTACCGCTCTTTGGTGTGACCTGCACCTGGGTCAGGCTCAAGTGAAATAACATAGATGCATCTTCCCCCTCGCCTCCCCCCTCTGTCCCGGAGCAGAGTCAAGGTTATGGGGGTTGTTAGCTCTCGTGGACTGGGACCTCACAGACTCAGTTACAAGGTTCATTCAAGTGAAAAACACACTGGTGGTCTGAGATTCCTCACCGACAGGCTCACAGGCAGCACAGGGAAACACATTTTCCATCCCTAGGGCGGCAAGTGCTGCATGCAATCACTCCCTCTGCTAAAAGAGGCAGGGATGAGGAAGAGGAGATTGATGGCTACTTTAACAAGGCCTGGGCTCAGCTGGGCACTGCACGGCAGCCAAATCCATTACGGAGTAATTTTTCTTTTTAGTCAAGACAAAATTACATTTGGTAATTATGCAGAGGCGTTGATTGTGGGCTGCCACTTGTTACCATAAATAGTAGAATAGCATGATTAGTCACTAGTTACTCAGGCTTTGTGGAATTGGACCGTGGTGCAAGAAAGGGCCGACAATAATGGGATGAAAGAGGTCAGTTAATTCTAGTTCTTTGGGAAAATCTGTTGAACTACTATGTTTTGTCCTATTGTTTTAAAACAAATACACTTGAAATCTGGGAAATTACTCTTGACTGTCAATCCACAGAGTATAAAGCCAACCATCAGTGCTTGAGACATTCCCCTTCTCCCATTAATGTAAACCATGATTACATCTATAGCGTTCAGTTGGATGGTGAGAGTAGGAAGTGACTATTGTCCAGGGGGTTTGTCCATCCTTCATCTACCAGTGAATTGCACAAATCTCTGTTGTATGTGGAAACCATTCATCTTATCAACTTCACAATTGGCATGTGTATTGTTTAGGGCCCAAGGGTTGAGAGATTTGGAAACTTGATACACTCAATATTGATAAATTCAGAATAAACAAGTGATCAGTGCTCTTGAGCAGCGGCGGCTGGGACTCATCAACGTCAACAGCGTAATCACAACAATGGCAACAACAACTGATCATCCAATGAGGGGTTCTGCGTACTGAGTTGAGCTTCACTCAATTTTGAAAAGAAGGTGTACAGCTATTTGTGCAGTAGAGCTGGTGCAGCATTTCTGATGAAAGTTTGTATCGTTAAAATTTTTACATGAAAAAGAAACCATAATAATTTCTGTACTTACAATCCATGTGAAGAGCTTTCATTGATCCACATCATATTTCCTGTAGGTTTTAGAAAAGTTAAAGGTACCTACATTGTTCAGCGAGCCGAGCTTGATTTAAAGTGATGAAAAGCTTCTGGGATCATCAGCCCATCTACAAATTAGCATCCAATTTGTGTATGTATAGAAAAATAGAGGATAAAAGTTTCCAGGTCAATATTGTCATGGTACAATTGATATGACTCAGCCAGGCTCGCTTACCGCTTCTGTTAATTTCCTGAAATTTAATTATACATATACATACTTATAAACATTAAAATACTACAGATTGGATGATCAGCCAAATCATTAAATGTAAATATGTAAGATAAGGGCCCTATCGTACACCAGTGGTGCCAAGAACCATGCATGTGCTAGTTTGCTGATGCGGTTGTCAGTTTTTTCAAATGAGATTTCACTTTTGACCTATAAAAACCTGGTCTTAAGTCAGCATTGCAGTATTTTCACTTTGTTATTTTAAGTGCATATCATCTATTAAGAGAATAATATTCTCCTACACAAAAACACACAGATGGTTTGTTTGTGCGCAGAGTGCAACTATTTTCTTTGGAGAGAAGTGTTCTGGCATGTACACCATTACAATAGCAATCTGCCAAGGTGGACGGCTGACTTTTACAGGTAATGGGAGATGGCAATCGGATTGGTTTATTCCATGTTTCGCACTAAACACACCCATAATTAATTAAGAGGCCAAGTAAATCCATTTTGAACGTTGCGCTTGGCATAGCAACCTTTTATTCAGCTGTTAAAGCAGCAACAATGAATGTGTACACACCCTCAATGCACTTGCACCATGTGCTTTAGACCATGAGCTTAGATCGTTAGAATAGATTCCTGAACCTTCAACATCAATGTTCTGCTTCTCCTTCTGCCAATGTTCTCAACGTGTCGTAGTGTGCAGCGTTGCCATGAGCACTCTCAGCAGCCCACAGTTGTTTTTCTCAGAACTAAACATCTATAACTGGAGCTCATCAGTTCTGCGCCCAGCTCTGCTCATTGAGACGGACGTTAATGTCCCGTGAAGGCAAATGCTGCTGCATCATCAGTAAACACGCGGCTGCTGTCAGCCGGAGAACCTTTCTGGTCCATTGTGAATCAATGAAGTCTCCAAACGGCAGAAAGTTATAGATTGCCCCAGGCTACAAGACTAAGCAAATGAGAATCACAAAATGAGATTAATTGCCAATAAAAAGACAGGCTGAGATGTATTGTTGGCTCCAGGGGAAGATGTTGCAGCACAGGTCTTACCTATTTCACATTTAATTTAATTTAAGACTACGATATATTTCAGAAAAACTTAATGGGAAACAATTCAGAGGTAATGTAGTCTTCTGTGGTGGTGGTGGTTTAGAGGGTCAGGAAGACTTCAGGGACATTGTTGTGAAGAGAAAGTTGTAAGCAGGGGGATGAGTGTACATTCTCCGAATCAGATGACATATTAATAGTCCGGGCTACATGTAGTTCAACATGAGTCATAGTCTGTATCACTTCCCTCAACTCTGGACCTCTTCTCTTCTTCTCAGTATTGGCAACTATAGAGTTCACAGTGTTATGTGTAATAGGCTTGTCACTGAGAATTATTGTCACTGGCCCCATTTACTGCCAAGAGAGAGAGGAGTGTGTCTGAATCATTTAAGAGCCACTGTCCTGTTACGTTATCTTGACCGATAACTTTTTATTCCGACAGTCACACACAGGAAAAGGAGAGTGGACAATTTTTATTTATATTTTACAACTAAATGTCAAGCCTACTTATGCATCTTTTAAAGTTCATCCATCTCTCTGAACCTTAAATTAAGTCAAAAACGTATAATACAAGGATTTTATCTTTTTAGCCCAGACACAATTAAAGCATTATGTAACGCTTACATCAGGCGCAGGTTTGAATGGACAAAAATAGTGGTGCTGAAGGTGCAAGTAGGAAATGATGTGCTATAGAGACAGGTTAGGATAAAATGCATGATGGCTAAGTTTAAAATAACAAAAACTGGTTTACAATATAATGTAAATACAGTGCTAACATGCTCTTTCCTGGAGTGCTTTGAAGGTACAGTGTGTAGAATTTAGTGACATCTAGAGGTGAAGTTGCATGTGAGGACCCACTCCCGATGAAGTATTTAAATATAAAGGGCTAATTCTAAGGTAAAGAAAACAACAATTTTTACAATTTAGATGATCACACTAGTGAAAACATACTATAGGATTATTTTATATTAAATTTCTGCTAATAGATCCCTTTCACCTACATTGTACACACTGGACCTTTAAGACATGTACACGAATATCAGCTATATCCTACATTTTTAGAGTATCGTTAAAAGATTCTTTTTGATTTTCTCTTTGTGCTACTTTTGCCAGACTGAGTCTATTTTCCTTCTCAGTTTCTTTCATCCAGCCAGCATCAGGGTTTTTTTTTTTTTCTGGTCTCACACATGCCGTTCCTGTAGTTACAAGCATGTGGAGTCTGCTCTGAAACAAATGAATGCAAGACTCAGTTGTATGAGGACATCAATTCTGCTCGCCT